TCTCCATAGGACCTCTCACGGGACTTTATCATAGGCCTTCTCTAGGTCGATGAATACCAAATGCAAGTCTTTCTTCCTCTCTTTGTACTGCTCTACCAATCTCCTCACAGGGTGAATGGCTTTTGTCGTCGACCGTCCCATCATAAATCTGAACTGGTTCTCGAAAATAGTAACACTACGTCGCACCCTCATCTCTACCACCCTCTCCCATACTTTCATAGTATGACTCAGCAGCTTGATACCCCTATAGTTGTTACAATCCTGGATATCACCTTTGTTTTTATACAACAGGATCATCAAACTCCGCTGCCAATCTTCTAGCATCTTTTTCGTCCTGAAAATGACATTTAACAAACTAGAAAGCCACTCCAAACCCGCCCGACCCACTACCTTCCAAAATACCACTGGGATCTCATTTGGCCCGGTAGCCTTACCCCTGCTCATCTTCCGCATCGCCCCCTCCACCCCTACGCTCCTAATACGCCTACAAAACCCAAAATCCCTCTGACTCCCTGAATCCTCCAACTCACCTAGCACAATGTTCCTGTCCCCTCCCTTGTTCAATAGCCTATGGAAGTACTCCTACCATCTATGCCTGATACACGCCTCTTCCACCAGAACCTTACCATATTCGTCCTTGATGCACCGTACTTGGTCCAGGTCCCGAGCCTTCCTCTCCCTAATCTTGGCTAACCTGAACAACTTCTTGTCGCCTCCTTTGCCCCCAAGATCCTCGTACAATCGCTCGAAAGCTGCAGTCTTAGCCGCCGTGACTGCCAATTTTGCCTCTTTCCTTGCCTTCTTGTAACACTCCCTACACGTCTTCTTCTCCTCCTCGTATGTGCTCTTCACTGACTTCAGATATGCTGCTTTCTTAGCTTCTATTTTTCCTTGGACCTCCGCATTCCATCACCAGTCTCCTTTGTGGCCTCCCAAATAACCCTTCGTCACCCCTAGCACCTCTCTAATGCAGTTTACTGTCGTAGTCCACATGTTACTCGCGTCCCCACTACTCATCCAGGCCCCCATGGCCAACAACTTCTCCCCCAACTCCTGAGCATTAACCTTAGTCAACGCTCCCCACTTAATCTTCGGTTGGCCATACCCCGCTCTGAAGAAAAATGATCTATATTCCGAAACTTTTTAAGTGTAGTCTGAATGCATTTAAAGTGCAACACATTCAACTTATGCGGAAATGATACAATGTTAATGCAAATATTGAATATAAATTGCCCCTATTACAGAAAAAAATTGATGCCAAAAAAACAAGTGCACCTATTTCTGCAACACTTCTACCTCAAGTTCATTCTTTCTTAAAACATGGAAAGGCTGGCAAACTGCCAAGTAGACAGCACGCGAGAAATCCAAAAATGACATGAGCTACTTTCATAACCATCCGAGAAGCTTAGAACACACTAAAAGCTGTTTCAAAGTTCCATCAAGGAAATAGTTATGGTGGTGACAACTAATCGGTTAGAGAGAACTAGCACTGATGTCAATGATAGTTGTTAGCAACGGAAGTTGGTAAATGATAGAAATCAGGCTATTATAGATGGCTAGACAGGACAGAGAGACTACTCAATCATAGATATTTCTATAAGTAAAACATTTCAGGAGAAAGACGTTGACACTTCATTAGCTCCTATGCATCTTTGCTAAACAAGTACCTCCCAATAGTTCTAGGTTCAATGAAGACAAAGGCTCGTATGAACTTGACTTGTTTTGATAATCCATGAAAAAGAGTTCATGTTTCATTAGATTTGTTAAATAAAGTCTCCCTGCAGTCTTTCACAAGAGAAGGTGATAACTGATAAGCTCTAGCAACCACGGTCTCCCAGAAAAACTCTTCTTTTGAATCCAAGCATTACTTGCATGAGTTGCACTGAAACCATTCTTCATTTATCTTTGCTTGGTCTCTTTTTTAATTTTTATTCTTTGCATGGTCTTAATACCAGATTTCTGGGAATTAGAACGAAATTGATGATACACTATCCTTGTGCAGTTTCTTTTGCATGCTATCTTTAGAAAGATTCAGGTCTAACAATGACTCTGGATAGTCCAGCTTTTTACAAATTTCAGGGATTTCAAGATTAGAGGGGGTGGTGTATCTGCCAATTCTATGTGTGTATTTGGATAGTTTGCCATATCAGAATGTTGAAGATCATCACTTGACTTAGAATATTTTTTAACTCAACTTTTCCAATTTGCATACAAAGTGGAAACATTTATTAGGGAAGCTTCACGTTTGACTACACAAAATTTAGGACAACATCACTCAAATAGCAGTATACAGGGTCCCCCCCCCCCCCCCCCCAGAACATCAATAAAACGTCTCCGTTTCCCACATGCTCCACATCTCATGACAATCACAACCGCTTCAGTCTCGAATAGTATACTCTTGATTTCATCATAGAAACTTTTTATCTTTTCATAGAAAAATATTTTGTTTGTTTTGAATATGAATGTAGCTGGTGAGAAAGAAATGATTGTCATATTCATTTGAGAAACATATTCCCCCCAATGGAGATGTTCTGGATAGGATGGAAAGAAGTGGCCCTAGTCTCTTCTTGCTTGAAAAGGAATTTTGTTTGCAACGGTAGTAATACTAGTTTTATTTCATGGTTCACGATAAAAAACTCCAGCAAAATACTGAGACAAAAAAATGAGACAAGCATAGTGAATTTAGGTGGCCAGCAAGAGGGAGCTTCCAGTATATTCTTCAAATCCTGTTATTTTGGGGATGACGGGGTCAGAGAAGACGTCATTATAAGGATTGCAGCCTGGTTATCAGGCATTTTAAGGATAAAAATAAAAAATAAAAAATTAATAACATCTGTATCAGGAATACATTTTGACATTTACCCCTAAGGAAATTGAATGTTATACTACTTACAATTGATTGAGTTAATTATTATAAATATGTTAATGTTTTAGCCTTGCTATAACTGAGCAGCTTAGGGAAGAGCATCAAGTACCTGTCAGTTTATAATGCGTCTAAACTACTATAAATATAATTTCTGCTCCTCCCTTTTATAATAGATCACTATAAAACTCGCGTTACCATTGATAGTCTGGAGAAGAAAGACCTTCCCCCTCTTACCAAATCCCCTTTTGAACAAGAGAAGAAATAACTGAGATTTATTATCACTTTATCACCAGCTGCCATTGAAGGATAGTCCAATACCTAAAAACAACTCCATTCAAATGACTCCTTCCCCCTTTCACCTCACCCCAATTAAAAGCAACTTAAGGAAAATGACATGGACAAAGCTTCACAAGACAACCAATTTCTGACCATTCTACATCTTTCTTTGTTTATTGGTCTTCTTATTTTTAATAACCGAGAAATCTCTGAGGGCCAATTGGCGCATGGTCGGAAACTCAGTGGATAATGGGCTCGCCCTCTACCCTTCCCCAATTAAGTACCAGGTTTTTGTTTGCAGCGGTTCCGAACGCTTGACATGCACCTAACACACATCAAGAGCGCACTCTTACCACTGAACCAAAGCCTTGGGGGCGTCTTTGTTTTTTGATCTAATAACTTTCAGGATAAAAAATGAAGCAAAGAAACAAAGGCAACCTATCCTGAATATTAACATGCTAATTACACCTAACAAGAGCATCACCCTGCATCAAAGGGATTGTAGAAAAAGATGTTGATATAATCCTGGTTGTAAGGCGTATATGCTTCCAAATTAATTTTCAGAATATCCTACCAAAAGCTTAATATTTTTAAAACCAGTCATACCATCAGCAACCACAAATCATATTCGATCATACTTCAAATCAACTACTGAGCATCTCTTTGGAATACCATATCTACTATATTTACCTCATTTCTAGGTATTACCTGATACAGCACATAAAGAATTCAGATTTCACAATAGCTTATGTAAGAAAGTATATCTGTCTTTCCAGCCTTGGGCAAAGTAATAGTTCAGGTACACTTCCTTGGGGAGAGCTTCCACAACACTTGTGACAGCCATTTCAAATGTGATATCAGGTATATAAATGGATATCAGTTAGATTAGCATAGCCAAAAGGTCCTCCTCCCTTCAGCACTCTAGGTATGAGTTGCACTAACTGCCACTAACTGCTTTTTCACAGGCTTAATTTTTGGCATACACCATCGACAACTTGCTGTTATTGACTACTATTCAACTTAATGATCAAGTGAAAACCCCTTATTTGACAGGTCCCCGTACAGTAGCTAACAGACCTTGAAATATGTGCCACCTTCAAACTGCTATCTTTCCTTTAGTAACCAGAACTCCACATTGTTTGTCTAAAAACGTACTTCTGTCCCAATTTCTATGGCATTCTTTCCTTTTCGAAATGTCACAAATGTTTGACACTATATTTTTTTATTGCTAATTTGACACTGTCATTAAACTATTCAAATATTAAACTTTGATTTGATGTTTTCTCTATTGAATTAACTAATCAACCATTACTTTAGTATTCCATTCTACTATCACTAATAAATATATATGTCAAATTAATATCTTAAACTCTATACTCAGTTAAATACATCACATAAAAATGAACCAAGAGAGTAGCATAAGCATCTAATTGGTTTCTCTTTTTTTTCTTTTATTGGGTGCAAATCTAATTGGTTTCCAAACTGAGTTACCCTATCAGTTTCTCACAATATATTAAACTGTGTGGTAAGATACCCTTTCAAAGACAAGAATGAAATTAATTACTGCAAGTTACTCTTTTTTTCCTTATGGCCAACTTGCATACAACTCGACTAATTACACAGGGTACCTAACTTTGTCCGCCAAGGCTTACACATGTGGGAAGACCTGGTGTTTACTTAACTAACTGTTAAAGCCGTCATTATAGCACGTCCAACATAACCCTAGCATAATGCAGAAAAAGCAGAAACTCAATTACTCTTCACTGACGTAAAATTCAGAGTTGAAATTTTGCATTTCCTAATAAACCATATCACAGACATTAGCTAACAGAGTTGTAATTGCAAAAAAAGTGGAAACCTTTTCGTTTTTAAAGCGAGTACGAATATTGCCGAGCTCTTTATCGACACGAAGGCGTTCCTGTTCTTTGTTCTGGCAATTACGAATGTCGCTTATGAACACCGACAATCCTCTCATTCCAGATAACGCCATTTCCGTTCAGATCCAGCCGATAAGGTCCTCTCACTCTGTCTTTTTCTTTGATCCGACGGTCCACAAAGAAAGATCGAGGTCCAGATTACGAACGGTAATGGCGGCTCTACGTGTTTTGCGCACGAAATGTATAGATATATAGATGTGTATGTATAGGTAGAGAGAGAAAGAAGGCTGATCTAGAGAGAGAGAGAAGGCTGATCTAGAGAGAGAAAGTGGACTGAGAAAATTTGGAAAAGCCGTCGGCCAGTTGGAAGAAGACGACGACTTTTAATTTTAGTTTAATTAATTTTTATTGACGATATGACATAACACAGAAAAGCATCATTTCTTTGAGTTTAAAATTGCTTTTTTTATTTGTGATTCTTTTAGTTTAAGAGAATTAATTGACTGTTTGATACTGGATTTTTGAATTTTGTGGGTGGTTTTCTTGTATTATGACCCAAATTAATACATTTGGGCCTAGCGATTCGATTGGGATAGACAGGCACACATTTTCTACTTAATCAACAACAACAAACATATTAAATAATATGAATCCTCACATATTACTTAATCGTAATTAAATAATTATTATAAATAAAATTATATTTAAGATAAATGTTTATATTTTAGAGAGATCTTAGTATTTGTTACTTGGTGGTTAACACACTTTCTCCCTATAAATAGAAGAATTTTATTCTATTGTAATTCATCTCAAATCCAATATAATTCTCTCTCTTTCTTTGCAATATTCTTCTTTATTGTTTCATTACACGTTAATATATATTTTTTTTTACTTTAATCTTTAGCTACTAAAATTAAATTATTAAATTTTGATATAAATATCGAGTGCGGCTTAATATTTAACATCCTAAAGAAATTCTATTTAGGATTTAACTATATTCAATGTATATAATTTTTGTTCTTCTGGCTTATGTAAGGGGAGTAGTAGTGGATGTAAGGGTGTCAATGGTTCAGTTCGACCGGTTATTTTATAAAATTTGTATCATATTAATTTTTTTTGGTTATTCCATTTTGTTAAACCAAAAGTAGACTTTTCGAAAATGTCCTGATCATCTCAGTTTCTCTTTGGTATCGATACAGTTCAGTTTATTTTTCGGTATTTTTTTAAAAACGTCATGCAAGAGTCGCTAGTCGAAGTTAGAATGCAACACATGTATGCTTACATAGAACTTTGGCAGAACTCTCTAAACATTTTTACTTTTTTTAAAGTGATGATCAAAGGAACATGAAAGATATCTAGAATAGAGATTCATCCCACTATTTTATGGTAATGTAAAACAAATTAAGCAAAGACAAGAGAAATATAAACCATACGAGTAGAAAAATAATAATCAAGTTGGGACTCAAAAATAGAGCTTATTAGAAGATTAGTATCCAACAAGAGAATTCTAAATCGTACGAGGGGAAGGATATCCAATACCTTGTGACTTGCTATAGGTGGAATACCTAGTGCTTGCTACTCAAGATATTGGAACTAATCTAAAGACATTGGCTTGCTAGTGGAATACCTAGTATAGAATAAGTTTAGAAGTTGGTATTTTGGATATTGATTATTTGGCCACTTGCGCCATTTCTATAATCTCAAGATCCAAGAAAAAAAACGTAATGCTTTATTAGTTTTAAACTTAGTATATAAAATATATTTTTCATATATAAATTTATTCGGTATGGTTCAGTATTTTTTGGTTTATTTTTATAAAATTAAAAACCTACCCTATTATTCGATACGGTTATAAGTTTATATAAAAACCTACGATTTTATTAAAAGAAATCTAATAATCAGTTTGATATTCGGCTGGTTTAGTCGATTTTTAAAGATCCAGACACCCGTGAGAAGTAAAGAATTGACCTAAGGTAAGAAAAGTTATCTTCCAAGAAAAAGAATGACAATGAAAACTAAAAGTTGTACATTATGGTACAAGATCTAATAGTTTAACTATATAATTCTAGAATTAGACATTGTATATTTAATTAAAGAATTAGACACTAATTAACAGTAAAACTTTTAACTTTTAATTAAAGAATATATACTTTTAATTCTTTGCTTGTAAATCTTCACAAATTTAATGAATTATATACTATTACATGTAATGTCAAAATTTGTACTATTACTTCATATTTGAGGGTAATATAGTTATAAAAATAGTCTAGATGTAACATATTATTATTTGCTATATATATAAAGGGGCCAAACCCCACATCTTAATACATTGAAGATAATGTACATACGCATATATCACAAAGATAAATTAAAATTTACTAATAACTGAGGGAACCAAAATGTTACTATCCCACAAATTAGGCTTAAAAGTTATAGACAGACAGATTAATGATTGTTGGGAGCTTGGAGTTGTAAACTTTTTACTTTGGTCATAGTAATACTTTCCAAAAGTGTCAAAAAGGTATTATGTTAAAGTTTAAACAAAACAGAAATTAAAACAAATTAAAGAAAATCATAATTAATTTACTTCGAGTCATTATGCCCTCCATGTGAACTTCTCTCTTTGCTGTAGAATTACAAAATTATTTCAACCTTTAATTTTAAATATATGTCAATTTATTTCCAGAAAAAAAAAAATTGACACAGATGACAATTGATGTCAAAACATGTCTATTAAGTCTATTCTTTGGTCTTTCTTTTTCCCAAAAAATTATCCTAACCACCGTATCCTAAAATAGAATGCAATTTCAAGCTTTTTTCTATGTTTTGGCAATAATTGAGGAAAGAGTGAAGAGTGAAGAAACATCTGGTTTGAAATTGCAGCACTCTTGGATTCTATTTCAGAGGTATGGTGTGAAACCGTAAAATATTTTCATATGAAATAATTCTATTAATATGCATTAATTAATAAATAAATATAAATGGTAAGTAAGGAGTCCTATGCTATAATAAGTCGTAACATGCTAAATATCAGTGTATAAAACACAAATCCTACAATAAAAAATAACAACAAATAGCTTACTTGAATTATGTGAACATCTTCATTTAAAAATTTAAACCGATATGATTATTTGTATATGCTAGATCTTCAAAAGTTCTAAGCTAAGAAAAGATGAAACACTGAAATTGTTAAGACTTAAGAGAGTAAAAGGGAATTGAAAAAGAAGAGACCTTTTCGTTTTTAAAGCGAGTACGAAGACTGCCGAGTTCTTTGTCAACGCAAAGGCGTTCCTGTTCTTTGTTTTGGCAATTACGGATATTGCTTATGAACACAGATAAACCTCTCATACCAGATAACGCCATTGATCTCAACTCAGATCCTTCTCAGCACCTCCGATTTCCTAATTTGATCCGACGTCGTTCTACGTGTTCTCTGATTATCATAATCGTGATTCGAGAAAATATATAGATATATAGGGATGTGTATGTATAGGTAGAGAGAGAGAGAGAGAGAAATGGGGTTCGATCTAGAGAGAAGAATATGGGGGAAGGGAGAGAATGCGGACTGAAGAAATTTGGAAAAGCCGTCGGTCACTGCCTGCGTAGGAAGACGACTCTTAATTTTATTTTAGTGATTTTTTTGACTCAATACAGTTACCTACAGAAAAACATCACTTCTTTGGAGTTTCTATATTTTATTTTATTTCTGGCAAATGAGAATAAATTGATCATTATTGTTTTGTGACAGTGGAGCCTCAGAGTATTAAATAGTTTAATATTGTTACATTATTAAAAGATTATTACATATATAATTATTCATAAAGGATATGTATGGCGGAGCAAAGACTCGAGTGAGGACGGTAGGAGGGGATTCAGACCATTTTCTGGTCATGATGGGGTTGCACCAGGGGTCGACAACTTTTTTGTTTGCCCTGGCGATGGACGTACTGAAGAGCCACATCCAAGGGTCGACAATTTATTGACGAGACGCGAGGTGGTGTGAACGCGAGGTTAGAGGTGTGGAGTTAGACCCTCGAGTCTAAAGGTTTCAAGTTGAGCAAGGGCAAGACAAAATACTTGGAGTGTAAGTATATTGGTGAGACTCAGGGAGGAGAAGTGGAGGTGAGGCTAGACTCACAAGTCATCCATATGAGAGTAAGTTTTAAGTACCTTGGGTCTATTATACAGGGGGTGGGAAGATTAATGAAAATGTCACACATCGTATTGGGGCAGGATGGATGTGTTTTGTGTGACAAGAAGGCTCTACCAAAACTTAAAGATAAGTTCTACAGAGTGGTGGTGAGACCGACTATGTTGTATGGGCTGAGTATTGCCCAGTCAAGATCGCCCATGTCCAGGAGATGAATGTAGCAGAGATGAGAATGTTGAGATGGATGTGCGGACACACCAGGTTAGATATGATTAGGAATGAGGTTATTCGCGACAAGATGGGTGTGGCCTATATTGAGGACAAGATGCGGGAAGCGAGACTTAAGTGGTTTGGACATGTGAAGAGGAGGAGCACAGATGCCCCGGTAAGGAGGTGTAAGAGATTGATATTGCAAGGCCTACAGAGAGGTAGATGTGGGCCGAAGAAGAAGTGGGGAGAGGTGATTGGGTAAGACATGGCGCAACTTCAGCTGATTGAGGACACGACCCTTGATAAAAAGGTTTGGAAGTCGAGAATTAAATTAATAGGTCTAGATTGTTCATACCGACAGTATTAGTACACACTCTCGCATTCTGTTGGTAGTAGGTATCTATGGCTACCCGTCATTTTCTTTCATTTTAATCATCTTATTATCATGTTGTTTTTTTATGCTGCTTTTACATGACTTTTTGGTGTTGTCCCTTCTTGTCTATCTTTTTATTAATGTGGTACTTATGCTTTCCTGAGCCGGGGGTCTATTGAAAATAGTCTTTCTATCTTTACAAGGTAGGGATAAGGTCTGCATACACACTACCCTACCCAGACACCACGATGTGAGAAAATATTGGGTATGTTGTTGTTGTTATATAATTATTCATAAAAAATAAGACAAGTTATTTACTACAATATATTAAAATATAATTCATTAATAAAATAAATTCCATTACAGTATGACAGTGAAATTAAATCAGATTGATTTTTGTGAGTGAGTTTTTGGGCGATGGCCTGAAAATAAATTGATGCATGTATGATTTGGATGTGGACAGGCTGTAATTTTCTATTATCCTAAAAGACACCCTTTTTAGATGTAGTAACAACTGGAGTATTTTCTTTCCCTTTTGTCTGTTGTTTTCTGGTTGGTATGTAGTGGAGGAGAGGATGATGCCTCCATTTAAGGTAAACAGTAAGAAATTTTGAATCTTGTATTTCTTTGCAAAAGGTATTGAATTAAGTTCACATAAAGCAAGATTTAAAACAGTATTGGGAGTTCACAAATTTTAAATTATTTTTTGTACTATGTATAGGAAAAAAGAGGAGGATTTGACACGACTTGTCTCCAACTAGCCTGCCTAGTAAAATCATAACCAATAAGCATTTAATTGTAAACTGGAATTATTTCAAGCAAATTTGATAAATCGCAAATCAATTGCAGTTACACACGGAGGCAATATAGGATTTAAAGGTGGCGGGTGCCAAAATACCTTATAATAACTAATATATAGTTTGTTCAGAACATTTGTCCGATTCATTTTTCTAGTTTATTCGAGCAATTTAATAAGCACTTTATTTGCAAATATAAGAATTACATCATTTTCATACCCTACTTATGGAATTTCATTGGGTATATATGTTATTATTGTCATATGAAAATTACATCTCAGACATCAAAAAGCAAATATAATTAGCATTTTAAAGAAGGAATCACACCTTTATTATTAATAATACAAGTAAAATCAATATTTTCACTAGGGAACTACAATTTTTTTTTTGTATGCTAAAAATATATTTGCACAAGTAAAATAAAATCTTTAATAAGGGAACTCCACCGATCAGAATAAGAAATATAAAAAAAATATCTTCAATAGATAAATTATACCCCAAAGTAAATGTAGAATTAGATAAACTACAAGATCTCAAAACTTACAATCATAGATCTAATGCTTGCGAAATATTCATCATAATTTAATAGTAAAAAGATTTAAATTGTATGTAACAATCATGGAATAACACAAATTTTTATGTTATAATAAAAAAAGAAATTATAAATTAATTTTGATCTCAATCTAAATATCAAGACCCAAGTTTTTTGATTTTGAAAGAAGAAAACTAAAAGATTTGAGATTAAGAGAAATGCTTATATTATGAAAATTTTAAATTTTGGAGGCTCTTTTTTGAGTGTTCTTGCAAAAGATCACATATAAAGTAATAGAATAGAGGAAAAAATATAAAAATAATAAACGACAAATAGGAAATTGTGAGGTAGCCAAAAAGGTAAATGACACAACGAAAAGGGAAAGTCAGACAAAGTTCAAGATAAATTCGAACTTGAATTTTATACACTAGAAAAACTTTCAAAAAGGTCTCCCAGTCATGACACCTTTGTCTAGTTTGCGAATGGGGATGTCAGAATCATATATTTAACCTAGTTTAAAAAAAATTCTACATAAATATATGATAATTTTACCAACCGAGCGGGTGCCATACCATCCCACCCTTTAAGGGTGGATCCGCCCCTAGTTACACAAATTCATCCAATAAATCCCTTATAATGGGACTACTACTTTAGCTAGTACCTCTTTGGCTCATTTCCACTAGCAAAAGTTGGAGCATTCGTGATTTCCCGTAGATTACTTATCATGCATGCTCAGAAGTACCATACCACAAACGTCATTTTTTTGTCTGATCCAGCTTGCTCGTACCTCGACTAATTCGGAGTCACCTAACTCTTTCTATGTTTCCAACGTGATTGTTGCACTTGCTCAAACTAAAAGATTTCTTCCATGATAATGACCATGAATCATGATTGACTCAAGTTCTGACGTCAATTTCCGAAGTGATGAGCCCTACTGGTGGTTCTCCCGGGTACCAAAATGGGTTCTTTACAAGAAAGAAAATTCTGTCCATATAAGTAGCTGAGCTTGCAATTGCAGTAGTTCCAAAGCCATGTTAGTAGCTGAGCTTTCCAAAGACACTGAAGAGGACAACCCGGTGTACTAAACTCCCGCTATGCGCGAGGTTCGGGGAAGGACTTGCCAAAAACACTACTAACACGAATTCATAGATAAATAGACCATAACAACTGATCTTACTTTGAGGCCATTAGGCATTTGCCTAGCCATCTAAGCAAATGCAGTTCCAGTTCAACACAGAACATTAAACTTGAAATCTCATTATGAATTTACATTTATAGCAAAAGCTCATAAAAAAGGACAGCCCGCTGCACCAAGCATCCTACGTTCATGCAGGGTCCGTGAAAGGGCCACACCTCAAGGCGGTATGATGTAGGCAGCCTACCCTGATGCAAGCATCAGTGGCTAATCCCACGGCTCGAACCCATGAACTATAGGTCACACAAGCTCCCCTTCTAAAAGCTCATAATACCATTCAAAGTTATTAAGGGAAAACTAGCAACATACAGTAAGAAATATCCAGGGTAGAATGCAATATTCTCAACAGGCTTCTAGCTTGCCACTAGTGGATCTTAACAGGCTGACATTTGGTGCTTTCTATTCAAGAAATGAACCTGATTTTGATACTATAATATCAGTGTCTGCTAGGAAAGCATTGCATACCAAACTATTTTTTCTGTTCTAGGAAGAAGAAGGAATAGAGGTGTTGGGTGAGAATTTAATTAAAAAACTATCTAATTGAACGATCCTATAAAATTGAACAATGGAATATCTGAAAGAAAAAAATTTATTCTTTACAACACATTCTCCTATTGCACTCCACTCACCTTAGCCCACTCCACAAACTGCATCCCACCATAAATATTGTTAGCAAAGCGAACACCCACTGTGAATGCCATCGCAACAGGTGGGGCACGTTTTGCCGCAGGTGATGCTTCAACTAAGCGCTCCAACCCGTTAATAATTTGGTACCGAGTATTTGAAGAAACTGCCAGAAAGAATCCTGAATGAAAATGGAAAAGGAAAAGGAAAAGAGTCAATTCAAGCAAAAGATAGAGAAAGGCTACAAGACATGCAGACTTGACCGCAAAAAGCACTTTGGAATAATTGTAATACTATCGTATCAACCAAATTCAAGGTATTGAAGTTAATAAGCAGAGATATTATGTCAAAATTCAAAATTGCATCCTGTGGTCCATTTTAAACCTTTTAAATTTTTCTCTTTCAAACTATATGATGGAGGTAAAATTTTCAAGTCTCACTCCAAAATTTATCTATTAGTTGGTCATGTATTCTTTACAATAATGGACAACTACACAGAAACTAGAGCCTCAAATCTTCATAAGCACAATGGTTATCAATTAAAGAACTCAACTAACGAATAACACCACATAGAATATAATAATTATTTTTTAATTTTAATTCTTTATATAGAGTACAGGTCTACTTGTTATTTTGATACACGTTCCTTCTAAATATTAATTCTTTTAAATAATCCTCTAAAGCTTACTTGCTTTAAATGGGTAATGACATAGTTCAGTATTTTGTATGGAACGTAGAGATGCTTTCGAAAAGGCATGTAACAAATTCACAATTCAATCCAAAGTCTCAGCATTAGTCTACTTTGGCTAGTAATAAAGATCAGTACTTGTTCTTAGAACTATTACGTAATAGCCAAGTAATACCAGATAAATTTGCAATTAGCATAAAGAAGAGAATCATAAAAATGAGGGAGAACGGGGAAAATGCTTCATGCAGCAGGCATTTGAGAATCAATAGTAATCAGAAAAGCCCACAGGATGACAGGATAGATCTCTAAACAGAAAAATAGTGATGGTCCTAGAAACTCCCTGTTCTATATAGGAACAGTGAGGCACACATCAGATTTTGCTATCTGGAGTTTGCCGCTTGTGTTATGATGTTTGGCTGCACATATTCAAAGTACAATCAAAAAGCAGTTCAACATACCCCAGAGTGCAGCACTTTTTAGTAAAGGAGGGACAGGTATATCCTCTTCTGACTTCTTGATGCTCCTGTTACACACAAAAAGGATATCAGATGTCAACCCGTTATAAGAATGCAAAGCACATTAGCTGAATAGAAGGCAGCTGATTTCATGGCAATCAGAAAAAGAAACTAAGTATCACAACAGAAGTACAGGAGAAAATTTAAATGCATTGGAGAGAATAAACATGTACACATCCCAATAGCTATATTTTGAGAAGTTGTGCACACACAAGAGCTCCATTTTTATTGATATCATTCTGTATAATGTTCTTTAGTGAGAATATAGCATGACATCTTGACAGAGAGTCCACAAAGTTCCAATAACATCCATGTTAAAAACAATATGAAAAGAAACTAAATGCAGATCTCACAGCAAGAAATCCAACTTCGAATATATTGGAGATCCATCTAAAAAAGAACACATAAAATGTAGCCAAAAAAAAAGAAGGAAAGGAAAAGAATGTAGACTATAGCTACAAAGCAGCCTGCAATTGTCTCTTGCTAAATTGCATACAGAAAGTAACTGAAAAATAGAAGGAAAGAGAAGAGATATAAAACAGCCAGGAGAAAAAACTCTTGCTAGGTAGCTTGCAGCTGCCACAGAAAAAAAACAAAAACAAAGAAACACTAACTGTAGATTGAAAATGGACTAGCCAAAAGTTGAGGGTGCATTGGCAGTTCAAGTGAACTAGACTGTGGAGAGTGGTTCACAAACATACCTCTTAGCAGTCATTATCAAATTTGCAATGCCCTGCCCAATGAGGCCACACCCAAATCCAACCGAGCCATACAAGAATCCCTGACAGCCATGAAAGGGAAATAGGTTATAACACTAAAATTTAACATTGCAGAATGGCTGAACACTTGGACGACAACGAAACGAGTAGAACCAAACTAACAGATTTTGAACCAGGACTTTGAAAAGGACTCACGTCGAAACAAATTATCTTATCCAAAATCTATCATCTGTATATCCTGAAAGTAGTCTAAAAGATAGCAAAGAAGTTCAATCATAAGTTATACCTTGTAAAAGTATGTTGCAATGCGCTGCTGTAATGTGAATTTACACCCTGGCCTCTCAGCTTCAAAAACGCTGCACAAAAATGGATATTCAGAAATCAGAACCAGCAACACTGCTATTATCAGCTGTCATAACATTGTGTTTTTTTTTTTGATAAGTAACTGTCATAACATTGTGAAGATAGACCATCAAATCTAACCAACCAAAGAACTGAGGATCACTGATTGTGTTATTCCCAGTTTTCACATAGGATCTCGTGCCCTTCTGGAAGCATTAAGTCATTTGTCTTGAGTTAGTGAACAAGAAAACTTCCACAAATCAAAGTTCTAGCATGCACTTAAGGCAGCCAATACCTTTTATGGAGAATGCCGTAATACCCATAGCCAGGTCCATTTCCACAAGAAACTTGGTTACTTTCGTACATGTTTAGTCCTAAAATGGTGAAGCTTGCCAAGTAATCTTAATTGGTCAGCAGAAGTTACTTTACTCAAAAGAAGGAATTCAGTTTCTGAAGGTCAACAGCATACATGTTCTTAAAAAGGAGAAGAGAAAACCTTGAGAATATAAGGGTGATTAGACACAGCCCTGGCTAACCAAGAAGAGACATTGGCCTTTGACCGAGGTTGCTGTGCAAATAAACATATGTGCTCGTGCCTGAGTATCTAACCCGCAACGTTTTAATGTTTAGGCACATAAAAATAGCTACACAATCTCAAAATCTCTGACAGAAGTATGAGAAACTAGTAGTGTTAAAAATATAGGTTTTCAAAAACTATCTTGAAAAGGTAAAGTTTTAGTCGACGCTTCTTCACTGATGACGACAGAATATCTGGATAACAATATACTGATTTCACCTTTTAGTCAACTAGAATGAAAGTCTTATATCCCATCATGTTGGTAGTCTGCGTCTGCTACATTATAATCTTCAATCTTGTCACAGCTCACACATTGGATCTACGAGAGAAGAGGCATAATAATTCTATTACAAGCTATCCAAATCAATCACCACTCTCTTACATCCACCAGATCTTAAAGGGCCTATAAACGACACAAAATTCAACCGGAGATTCTCAAACCAGATTACTTTTTCCAACAGTAGGTAGTTGAATCAAGTTCAAAACTTTCTTCATCTGATTTCCTAGTAGCCACATACTGTCAGAATCCAAAGTAGAGAAAATATTTCGTTGTTTTACTCTTGTTGAGATCCTACATATTAAAGTCTCTGCTGAACAGATAGTGTTATAATTGATCGGCTCTGAAGAGATAAACATATGCTTTAAATCTCCGCAGGTGCATGCATTTCTATATTGCATTGACTCCAGTGTATGCTTCTTCGGTCTCAATTTCAATGTTCCAATGGCAAAATGCATTCCGAAAATTTTGAAACCTTTCAATTAAGTTTATACAGGAAAGGGTGAAAATAAACCAGAAGCGATCAATCGGATACAACAAGGAGATATATACATTCTAAACTTAACTGGTTGATTCAAGAATGCTTTTACCCTTGTATTGATTGTCCATTTCATCTTACTTAAAGTGTCCATTAGTTTGTAATCGTTGCTTTTCCATTTGAACCCATGTGCGAGAACACAAAAAGGAACTCCAGATAATTCACAGGATATGGATAAGGTTTATATAGGTTATGACCAAGGTCCATCCGCATGAGAGGAGATTTTTTAAGCTTTTGACAAGGTGAAACAATTTCATGAACAGAGAATTACTTTCTGTGTCTTGCCTACTGAACTATCGCTCGGAAGAGCATGGCAGCTGCATGGGAGGAGATTTTCAGCATTAGACGAGGTGAAACAATTTCAAGTTCAGTAGGAATTGAACTCTCTGTCGAAAGAATGTGGCAGCTGCATGAGAGGAGAGTTTTTCATCATTAAACGAGGTGAAACAATTTCATGAATAGAGAATTACTTTCTGTATCTAGCCTACTGAACTATCTCTCGGAAGAATGTGGCAGCTGTTACTCTGAGTCTCTGACGCAATTAGTGTAGGCACTAGATGTTATGCTACGTCCGCAAAATCATGAGAACAGAAAGTACAAAAGTTGGAAATCTGCATGAGTTGGAAGCCAAAGAAAACAGAGAATAAATTGATCACCTGCTAGGGAGAGCTCCACAAGCATGTCGAAAGCGTCCAAAAGAACTGCTTGAAAAGGACTGCTTGCCTATTCGGACATAAGGAGCCAACATGCCTACCAATGCGACGTCAACAACAATTCCAACCAGAAGATCTGCAGCATACAACTCAAATTCTGCCCAGAAATCCTTTCCCCTTTTCTGAACCTCTGCAAATGTTGCACAACAGGAGTCGATAACAATCTGCAATACACCAGTTTAGGTACAAACTGCCACTATAAGATCAGGTTTAGACACTTGAACAATCAAGGCAGTTATCTACCAGTTCGTAAACTGGTGTACAAATTTTTTGAGAAGGAAACTGGTGCACAAAATTTATCCATCAATTAAACTGTTTATTAATCCATTTGGCAAAACCTACGTTACCAAGTTACAACCCAATATGTTTCCTTAGATTCAAATTTTTTTCTTTGACTATCCTCAAGCATGTGTAGCCCTTCGGTTCCTCCTTTTTCCTTTTTTCCTTATTTCTTACTGTTTTTGCTTGTTCGCACCTCATGTATTATTGTCCCCAGAGGACTAGCAGTTACATAAAGTTGCTTCAAATTGTTAAATAATTGTCCACACAACTTAATAAAAATTAACCTATTCCATAAAAACAAGCTTTATACTTGAGTCACCTCACAGTGGCTACTCAGTACCCTATACGATACAAGTGCAAGTCAAGCACACATCACAATCACAGAGCTTAAAGAGTGAAATAATCGTGGCATGATTGTCAATCTGATAATACCAATCATGAAACTCCTCATGACATTAGTGATTAGCCATAACAAACTACAGGTATAGCTGCATCCCAACAACAACAACAATATACCCAGTATTATCCCACACCGTGGGGTCTGGGAAGCATGGCAACTGTACGCAGACCTTACCCCTACCTTGTGAGGATATAGCTGCATCCCATGTTTTTTTATTTCTTGAAAAGTAAAAGAAACAAGAGCTACCAAATTATCAAACTAACCTCTGTTCCAACTTTAAACAAAAACGACGGATCCGCAAGCATTCGATTTCTCAGCATTGAGCAATGTCTCATCAAAAATCCCAGCGGCCAAGCTGAACCCTGAATGTCAAATACAACAACAACAATGCCTCAGTCCCAAACAAGTTGGGGTCGGCTGAACCTTGAATGTCAAATACCATTTCAAAATGCAATGAATATATCTACACATATACTCCCTTCGTCCCAATTTATGTGATAATCTTTCCTTTTTAGTCTGTCCTAAAAAGAGTGATAGCTTTGTATAATTAGAAATAATTTAACTTTAAACTTGTCATTTTAACTTTAATGAGATTATTATAGCATTTAGATCACTAGCTTCAAAAGTTTTTCCTTTTTTTAAAAAAAAAAAAATTCGGAGTCCAGTCAAACAATGTGTTATAAATTGGGATGGAAGGAGTATATAAAAAATGAAAATTAGCATCAAAGATTACATTTTTCGCACCTGCAAATCCAAGTAACGACTAAGAATCAAACTCCGAAGCCCTGTGGTCTTAGCTGCTTCCAACATATCACAAGGCAAACTCGCCCCTCGCTTTTCAGCCTCTTTGATCACCTCATCGAACTTCACAATCGGCCCAAACTCTTCCTCATCGTAATCACCATCATCTCCACCGCCGCCGTTGTCAGGTGGATATCCTCCTTTTCCGTTACCAGCGTCACCTCCATCAGCTGTTCTGATGATGGACTCTTGTCCGGTACATTTGATTCTGAAAATTTGATCAGTTTTCCCAATCGAATGATTTAAAGATACAAACTTTGATGAATTTGAGTGTCTTAAAAGTGTGTTGTTTGAGTTGGAATCGTTTGGAGGTATCGAAAGATTTGATATATGGAAAAGTGATGATTGAAGCAGGGCCATTGTCTTGAAGTTTCAGAGGAATGAATGGAGTGTTTTGTAATAGTACAGAGTAGGAATAGAACAGTGTACGAGGAAATGGCATTAACATAGGTGATTGCAGGTTGCAACCCTAAGTTCGAGATTGACCTTTGTTATCGGATTGCGCGGGGAACTAATTAATGGGGTTGGCCAATGTCGACCTTCTCTGCATGACGTGTTGCATGAATTATAGTAATAGAAAAATTATAATAAATTATTTAATCTCAGATTGGTTTGCGAACTATTATTGCACGTCAACCCAGCTCCTTGAGAATTTTCCACAAAAAAAATAACTATGCGATACCACTAGTTTGTTATTACAAATATAATCTTTTGTTTAATTTATTTTTCAATATTCTTTGGAAATTTTAAGAAAATGTTATCTAACAAGTGAATTCAAATTAGCAAAATTTAATATGCCCTTATAAAATTTGAAAAGTAACCAGTTAGTACAAAGTACAAACAAGCTTAAGAGTTCCCACAAATTGAAAATAACGAACGTAAAGCACTATATATACTCCTTTTAGGAAATAATTGGTCCCATCGAAATAAAGTGTTTGGACCTCGATTTTATAGCCACAATTAGCACATACACTTGTATACTTTTGAAAAACAAAACATGAATACCTTCATCATGTCACTTTACAGAACGCTTCATGAAGCTGTACATGTATAAGGGAGAACTTGGACTTTGAATCCTATTGTATTGTTCCAGGGGAAGAAACAAATATTTACCAAGTATCAGCTGAGTTCTATGTTTGTATAAGATTCATAATGTTCTGCGATCAGGCTTTCACCATTCCAAAATTGGACAAAAGTAGTTCTTTGGTCCAAGCGTGAGGGTTGTATGTTATGTAACAAACTCAATTTGGTCTCTCTGAGGGAAATATAAGGTGCATGTGCCTCCAATTATCATGGGATGAATCTTTTCCAAACATGTAACCCAAAATTTTTTGGGGCAGTGGATAAATATTTCTAAAGGCCATTCTCTTCAGGTTAAGGATGTCCAACCTGAGTCTTTTCATCATAAAATCAAAACAAAGAGGAACTTTTACGGTGTCTTGAGCTTCTCGGTTGCTCTATGGATGATCTTGGGGTTGGACCTGTGCTTTCAACCACATCTGGTTGAGTGTCTGACGATTGGGGAAGCAGCTTGCATCCAATTCTTCGGGCAAGAAATCGTGGAGAACTGAGGTAACTATGTGACTTTGTGACCTTTCTCATCTCTTGTTTGATTTTGCTGAATTCTTCTTCAAGTTCGCCAACTCTGGACTTCATCCTTTCCAAGTCCACCTTTAGACCCTGGTTCTCACGCACAACTGTGACCCATCCATCTCTCTGTACAATTTGACCTGCCATGTCAGTGGGGCCAGTGACAGCGACAGGAGCAGCAGGGGCACTTTCTGTGTCCAAGACATGGAGGCAGCCAGCTAGAGCTGTTCTCAGCTGCAATTGCTCGAAGAACAGGACTTGGAGAACTACTCGAAGAGGCAACCTGTCATTCTGGGATGCATGTGCACAAGCATCAATAGAGAGCTTCTGAAAGTCGATCATGTTGCAAAGCTGCTCCTTTTCTTTATCCGAGAGCCAAGGATGCGCCTATACAATTTCATTTTAATCCATTAAGAGTCTCGTTCAGAACTTCCAAAAGGTTTGAATATTACAAGGTTTCACAGTGCAGAGTTGAAATCAATTTAGCCCTAGATCATCAATGAAGTAAATAACAAGCACAGTGAAAAGATATACGTGTTAAGACTATTACACAAACAGCATAAAAGAGAGTAGAAAACTAAGCTAGAAAATCAGCCAGCATAAAAAAAATTAAGCTTTACTTGATGCAAGTTGCTTTTGACTAGAGGTCTGTCCTCAGATATGAAAGACTGTTTAATTGGAACAGTGCATTTTCAGACAATATGTATGGTAGTGACACTCAATGAAATACTAAAACACAGCCATCCATGGAATAGAGTGAAAGGACTAACCATTATGTGGCAGTAAATTAGCAGGTAAATAAACTAATCACAAACAATCAGATATATCATCATTAGCACAAAGTGAGACAGCGACTGAATCAAACCTTAAAGTATATATCTATAGCTCTGTATAGCCCATCATGCAGAGATCTTGAAGATTCTGGGAGAGCTTCAGCAAGTGAACGAATTTTTCCAGGCTTTAGGTTCACATCAGATGCAACTTCTGCAATATAGCTGTCTACCAGCTTCGCCACTCTCCTTAAAGGGTCAGACGATGGTGATGTTCCTATCTCAAATGAAGATGGAGCAGGTGTTGTGGCGACCCCAGGTTCAGAAGATATAAAATGAAGAATCATTCGTTCAACACAGTCAGTGTGATATAATGTATCAGAATCTGAGTAGGAAGGTATCAGCAAACCATCAAGGGATGCTAGGTCCAATTGCATTCCTATTCTCCTCTCCAGCGAGTCCTGGCACGTGTGGTTCACACCAAGAATCAGCGCAACTCGCAGAAGTCCCAACAAGAAACGGCAAAAAGATTTTCCCTTCAATTCAGGAAGCAGGTTCACAACACTTTCTAGGAGAACTTTCTGATCAACGGCAGCAGGTGTCATACTGAAACTAGCAACTGTTCTAGTTTTGCCACTTTGCCCACTCTGCCACCGGCCAAGTCCCGGAAGGTACTTTCTACAGTAGTACATCATAGCACCTGCTAAATTTTCATGTCTAATACCCCTGGCTTCCATTGTTTGAATTAGTCTCTGAAATAAAGGTACAGCAAGATATGAGATATCTTCGAACCACCAGTCAGATTCAATGGTTTGGATTCTAGCACCAGTGTTAATTCCATTCCACAATATACTACCTCCAGGGCTCTGTAAGCTGCCATACATCAACATAGGCCATCCAAATAAACTAGGATCTGTGCAGACCATCACAGAGAGCGCATTCAAGCATTTACTAATGATCTCTAGCTTATCTGCTTTTGGAATGACAGGATCACAAGTTTGGAGAGCCAATATGCAATCTTTCCAATTCCTTATAGTATTCTTATGAAAGTAAGCATCCGCCTTCAACAGTAAATTATCTTCTCCATACTCCTCCGTCATCTCCAAGTAGTCTGCTGCACAATAAATTATTACTATGTTCCTTGGGGTATATTCAACTCGAATACTGTAGCAGAATTTAACTGCGACCAGAAATATGTCACTCCCACCAGGGAAGTCTTCTAAAGTTGTCAGCAAAGTCCCTTCATGCGGACCTTGAGCTGCTTCTAGTATTTTGGCAATCCTCCCACATCTTGACACAAGTGGAAACTGTAGACAGAGCATTTTCAGCTGTTAGGCACGACTTGGCGTAGAGAAGTTAAATTTTATTTTAAAAGGTGAGTTGGGGAGTCCATGTAAATTCAGCAATACTTGATCATGGTAGGATACAGAATAAGAAACAGCATTAAGACAAACTAGTAATGATTGGGAGGAAAAATCAAAGCAAGTATATTGAAAATCACCCTTGAGAAGAGTGCAGTTACTTTGTAGACTTGACACTATAGTCATCTTCTTCAGATCACTGATTGCACACACATCAGTTCTAAACTAGGGCTTGCATCACTTTGTGAAAACTGAAAAATCCTATTAGATGAAACAAAGTTGCCACAAACATTAGCATTCCAGTTTATTTCGGCTCCAAAGTTCCATCATTTTCTGAATCATTGCAACAAAAACTAGCTGATTGGTGAGAAAAAGTGAAGCTCGTTAGTGACTTTGTCAGTCGAACATCCACTGCTTGGGAGAGGCAAGAATTAGGAAGGAAGATTTCCTCAAATTCAATTAGAATAAGCCATCGGGGAGTCACTAGATACATAGAATTTTGAGTACTCGGCAAAAAGAAGGCAAGAATTGAAAAGGGCGGAAAAATAGGAATAGAATGGAATGACTAAGGTATTAAAAAATAAAAACTACTCTTCTTTTCCAACTTAAAAAAATTCTCTATTTTATTACTTAGTGGTATTTCCGAAGCAAAACACCGTTTCAGGATATGATCTGCACAAGCATAATCAGTCTCTGCTGTAATTGAGCGCCCTCCCTTCAAGCATAAATAGTCTAAGGAAATGATTCACATGAGAAAAACTCGTCTGTATTCATCCAACAAAGATTCATCCCCCTCAATGCTTTTCTTTTTGTTTTTCTTCTTTTTTTCTGAAGTGTGAATGAATAGAGAGGATTCATATAACTGAACCTATCTAATTTGGGACTGAGGTTACACAAGTGAACCAAGTCGGGTATTTAAGTGGATAAGGATAGAGAGGCGGGCCCATTATTCACCGAGTTTCATAGATGAAAAATTTCTCAGCTATTTAAAAAAAAAGGAGATAATTAACCAATTCATGTATCTCTTTCTCTCAATTAACAGATATCAAAAGGAATTATCAGAGAATTCAGATATTTTCAGATGCTGGAAATGATTATTTCCAAACAGTATTAATTGTTATGACTAATCTAAATATATTTTCACCATTCAAACCGTATGCCAACCTGTTCGAAATAAAATACTAATATATAATCCATGACGATTATGACACTAGACAGATTATCATTACTATACAAGAATTACTCTCACGCCCCATTATATCTTCCCAACGTATCCAGTACATCATAATTCTAAAAAGAGCATATCCGTTAAATCATATGACAGTGCTAGGATTATTATTACTAAACAAGAATTAATCAGGCAACCCATCAAGTCTTGCTATCATGTTCATCAAACCTTACCCAATACATAATATTCAAAACTCATTTGATGATGGCTATTCCATATTAAATATACCAACATAGTTCGTTATGGTTCAAAAAGTGATGGTCCAGATCAAATGAGGATTCGGTAGGCGAATATTTTAAAGGAAGTTCGTTTAAATTAGTTTATAACATAAACAGTATAAAAGCGCATCTCCTATAACTTTCATAGTAGCATGGACTACCAGATGTAATTGCTAGTTTTTCCTTGAGAGTTTCAAATTAGAGATTACATACAAAGTTAGGGACAATTCAAAAGGTAAAATAAGACAATCTTTTTAGTCACAGGCTAAGTTGCACATCCTCAATTTTAAAGATTTAAAGAAGAATGACTACCTTGTGAAGGTGGAAGTTTACTCCATCTACTACCAAGGT